GACTATATCCCGGGGCGGCTAGCTCAACGCGCAGATAGTAGCGGCAGGTAGTCCCAACCGCGCGGCTGGCGCCTGAATTCCCTTGCCCTTTACCTTGGGGCCTGTGGATTCTCGGCTCTCAGACGCCCGTCTATTCCAGTCCACTTCGCAGCAGGCGTCGTGGGATGGAGTGGTATAAGTGGGAGGCGCAAAGGGTAGCTTGAAGGCGGGATAAGCAGCGGCTCTTTGCAGAGTCGGAGCATCGCAGGGCGCTTGCAACCCCACCCTGGTCACTATGCAGGCTTGGCCAATGGCACATGGTGAGTTTGAATATGGAGATTGGCACGTCAATGCATCGGCAGACGCGTCGAGGTTGATGAGAAAGAAGCAGGCTTGCAGGCCTCGTGGTCTGAAATCCGGGCCATCTCGGTCATGATCATGTGTTGTGCGGGAGAATACAGACTCGGGTCAGCCTTGGTTGAAGACTTCCTTTCCAGCTTATTTCTTCTCTCTCCTACATTGCGAATTATTGAGGCGCGCGAGGGCGTCTTCCCGAAGGATTTCTTCCCGCGTACAAGTTCCAAAGCCCCCTGCACAATGCTTAGAGAAACGGGGAACCCCAGTGCACCAGCGAGTTCTTCCAACTCGGCCTCGAACATGGAGGTTTGGAGATTCTTGGTCCATGCTGTGCCTTCGGACCGGCGGGTCTTTATTGGCGCAGTGCGACCTCCCCAAGCCTGTTCCGGGGCTCTAGGAAACTCCTGTCTCGAGACGCGCGACACCTGCGAGAATTTCGACGCCCCTAGCGCGTTCACAGCAGCCACGCGGAATTCTACAGCAATAAATCGGGGTGGGGGCTCCGACACTTTCGGCAGTGAGGAAAACGGGCCGCTTCGAAGAGCTGCAGAGTTGTTCGAAGGAGAGCCAAGCCCAAGCGTCTGGCGCGCAGCTGTGATTGACGCAGGGCATCGAGATGGGGCGCGGACCAGGCACTCGGGGAGTAAGTGGGCATGGACCTCACGCCAGGGTGTCCATTTGGGGGCTTGCTGTTGTTCGTTGGCATTTGATGATGATTGTGTTGAGAATGGCCTGACTCTAGGATCTGACGCCAGACTTCTTGCTGGGACTAGCATGTTGCTCGCTTGGCAGCGTTTGGCAACCGAATTCGGTGGTAAGACTAGTTCACGCTGGTGAAGTATATAGTACTGAATTGGATAGCCATTCGTCCGCGGTCGTGCCCATGAAACCCGAAGGCGATGGCTGCCGCTAGCTGGCGGTGGTGTAGCACGACTCATCTCGCTCACAAAACCCTCCAGATTTTGCGCCGCTGCACCAACCACAGAATTCATGTTAGCAGTTCCAACAAACTCCTCAGTAACATTGGGTCGTGGTATGGGAGGATCAGGTGCTCCACATTTGGTAGCGACGGCGACGGCGGGACTCAGCGCGGCAGAAATCCCATCATATGTCACGCGCAAGCGCATGTGGTACCATGTGGCCGGCAGGAGGTCGATGACCCGCACGCCGCCAACTCCGTCCACTGCTTCAAGAGCCACATATGCTCTACCGTCCTTGCAATTCGCTGGCAACGTCTTACACCGGTCACAATCACTGTTTTGCGAGCCGGTAGCCCTCGCTGCAACACGCAAGCGTTGTAACTGTACACGCGCTGGCTGCCATCCAGGTCCCTCCTTTATCTCGACCTGGAAAGCAGCGCCACCACGAGTAACTGCCTGCCTTAGCAGCTCCCCGCGACAACCCTCTATACCGGGCCAGCCAAGTATTACATCACGTGTGGAGGCATTAATGATGGTCGGTGCCTCGGGGTCACTCAGGTATGTGACATCACGTGGGGCCAAAGCCGCGGTTAATGACAGTTCATTTGGGCCGGTGGCACCCTCCACGCGGTAAACATGGCTACATAATGGCACCGGCGACATGGACGCAACCCAGGTTAGATCCAATTGGTTCACAGGCCCATTGAATAGTACCACCCAAGCCCCATCGGACGAGAGCATCGAAAGAGTGATACAGCGATCGGCCCGCACGCCCCGCAGAAGTCGGCGACTCATGTCTGAGCGTGCCATTCTGATCCTACGCAAATCCTGAGACGTTCGAGTTTCCATACCACTGATGGCGCTATTCCAGGCGTTGGGGCAGTCGGTTAACGCAAATCCTGAGACGTTCGAGTTTCCATACCACTGATGGCGCTATTCCAGGCGTTGGGGCAGAGGACGATTCAACGAAAAATGATGCCTCCACCCTGAACCCCAGCCGTTCTCCAGGGTGGAGAATGGACCACTTCGTGGCGAGGGGTGGATCTAAGCGAACGCGGCGTCGGCCGCGTGCACTGATGGGCGCCCCTTGGTCGCCGTGTCGAGGCGACCATAATCCATACTCAAAGCTTCCTCTGAGGTGCCCCATAGGCCGAGCGCCGGGGGCGCCGAGCTGCCCATCGCGTGGGTGGACCTCGGCGCGCCACCGCCTCGCTTTTATAGAATTTTATTTTTTTATTAGTCCGCCCGCGCGCCATGAAATCGCACCCCCAGCGCTCG